AACATACCCACGCCATTACCCAAGGCAGAGGCACACTGGAGTCTTAAAAAAGTAAGACAAGGAACATACTCACGCCGTTATCCAAGGCAGAGACACACTGGAGTCTTAAAAAAAGTAAGACAAGGAACATACCCACGCCGTTATCCAAGGCAGAGGCACACTGGAGTCTTAAAAAAAGTAAGACAAGGAACATAAGAAGGAATCTTATCTGAGGAACAATTTGGCACCTAAGTTCTTATCTTTAATATATTGAATTCTGTTTTTTTTTTCTTTTTTCTTTTTTGAGACAGGATTTCTCTGTGTAGCCCCAGCTGTCCTTGAACTCACTCTGTAGACCAGGCTGGCCTCAAACTCACAGAGATCTGCCTGCCTCTGCCTTCTGAATGTTGAGATTAATGGCATGCACCACCACCTACTGACGTGAATTCTTGATGTAACCAAAGATTTCCATTTATATATAAGTCAATGTTGTATTTGTGATTTATTAATGCAAATGGTTCCAAATATAGGCTGAACATTCCGAATTTGAAAATCAAAGCTCTGAAATTTGGGGGATGAGATGCCATGCCATATGGGCAAAGAGCCTGATTTTATATGACTAACTGGTTGTAGTCAAAACACGGAACACAAGAGCACTACCTTCAGTTTTTGGGTACGAGATATACCTGAGACAGATTTTATATTTATTCTTGCATCCCGTTCCCAAGATAACTATCTATAAACACTCCAAAATTAAAACGAAAAAATTGGAACCCTTCTGGCCCCAAGCACTTTGGAAAGGGGTGTGCTTTGTCCAGTCAGAACCAAGCTGATCGAAGGTGCTTTCCTTATACCTTACTCGGGAATCGCTCTGAATGAGAAAAGAAATCAAAAGGAAAGGACATGGCTGCTCCTAGGTACAGTGGAGGAGAAAGTTTATTGTAGATATGTAGAAGAGCTTTAGCCAGAGGCAGACACATCTGGGAGAGTCAGAGTAGACACGAGCAGACTGAGCTGGGCTATGTGGGAGAGTGGGCGGAGAACTGAGAGGGAGAGGGGGGAGCCACGTACAGCAGCCAGGAGGTCAAAGGTACAGAAGGGGCTGGGAACCAAAGGGCTAGATTATATAGGAAAGGTGCAGCCCAGCCCTTGGGCTGGAGAGTTCAAGGGTAGCCAGCCATACCTTGTAACAGGTAGGGACTGAGGGATACTGGGAGAACCTGGAGGTCAGGTCTGTTTGGATATGTTAAATAGGCTCCTCCCTCTGCTGTTGGTCCAGTTTGCAACTTAACACTCTGGACCTGCTGCTGCCTTGCATTCAGGCCTTTTACCTTCCGTGGTTAATGCCTACTTCATCTCAGCACTCCACACATCTTTCTCAGTAAGTCACTCTGTGATAACTGATACAGCTGTTATTTTAGTAGACAGAAAGGGAGGGAAAGAGTCCATGATCAAAGGACTTCAGAGGAAAGAGTGGATCAAACCAAGTTAAATAGGGAGCTTTAAAATTCATCGAAGCATTTAACATGCCATCGTGAAAAATAAAGCAAAACTAACATTTAGCTTTGAGAGCCAAACTGACACAGCATCTGGTTCAAGCATCTTCCCTTGGGCCTTCCTTCTTGCTTAACTTCTTAGGGTCTGTGGGGTATATCATGGATATCTTGTGCTATATGGCTAATATCCACTTATCAGTGAGTACATACCATGTGTGTCCTTTTGGGTTTGGGTTACTTACTCAGGATGATATTTTCTAGTTCCATCCATTTGCCTGCAAAATTCATGTCCTTGTCTTTAATAGCTGAATAGTATTCCATTGTATAAATTCTATATCCATTCTTCGGTTAAGGGACATATGGGTTGTTTCCAGCTTCTGGCTATTATGAATAAGGCTGCTTAGACCATAGTGGAGCACATTTCCTTGTGGTATGGTAGAGCATCTTTTGAGTGTGTACCCAGAAGCAGTATAGCTGGGTCTTTAGGTAGAACTATTTCTAATTTTCTGAGAAACCACCAGATTGATTTCTAGAGTAGTTGTACCAATTTGCAATCACACCAGCAATGGAGGAATGTTCCTCTTTCTCCACCACCTCGCCAGCATCTGCTGTAGCCTGAGTTTTTGATCTTAGCCATTCTGACTGGTGTGAGGTGGAATCTCAGGGTCATTTCAATTTATATTTCCCTAATGGATAAGGATGTTGAGCATTTCTTTGGGTGCTTCCTGGCCATTTGAGATTTCTGTGATGAGAATTCTGTTTCGCTCTGTATCCAATTTTTAATTGGGTTATGTGAGTTGTTGCTAACTTCTTGAGTTATTTATATACTTTGGATATTAGCCCTCTGTTGGATGTAGTTACCCCATCTGTAGGTTGCCGTTTTGTTCTATTGACAGTGTCCTTTCCTTACAGAAGCTTTTCAGTCCATGAGGTCTTATTTATCAATTATTGATCTTAGTGAGCCATTGATGTTCTGTTCAGGAAATTTCCCCCTGTGCCAATGAACTGGAGGCTGTTTCCTACTTTGTCTTCTATGAGATTTAGCAAATCTGGTTTCTTTTGAGGTCCTAGATCCACGTGGTCTTGAGTTTTGTGCAGGGGATAGATATGGATCTATTTGCATTCTTCCATATGTAGATACCTAGTTTAATCTGCACCATTTGTTGAAGATGCTGTCTTTTTCCCACTGTATGGTTTGGACTTCTTTATCAAAAATCAAGTGTCCATAGGTATGCAAGTTTATTTCTGGGTCTTTGATTCTATTCCATGAATCCACCTGTCTGTTTCTGAACCAATACCATGCAGGGTTTTTGTGTTTTGTTTTAATCTCTCTTGCTCTTTAGTACAGCTTGAGGTCAGGGATGATGATTCTTCTAGAAGTTCTTTTACTGTTCAGGATTATTTTGACTATCCTCAGTTTTTTTCAAATATGAAGTTGAAAATTGCTCTTTCAAGGTCTGTAAGTCAATTGTGTTGGAATTTTGATCAGGATTGCATTGAATCTACAGATTGCTTTTGGTAAGATGGCCATTTTCACTATGTTAATCCTACCAATCCATGAGCATGGGGGGGTCTTTCCTTCTTCTAATTTTTTCTTCGATTTCTTTCTTCAGAGACTTGAAGTCTATGTCATATAGATCTTTCACTTGCTTGGTTAGAGTTACACCAAGATACCTTGTATTATTTGTGGCTATTGTGAAGGGTGTTGTTTTCTGAATTTCTTTCTCTGCCCATCTTGTCATTTACAGGAGGGTTACTGGTTTCTTTGAGTTAATTTTCTATGCAGCCACTGTGCTGAAGTTGTTTATCAGCTGTAGGAGTTCCCTGGTGGAATTTGGGGGATTGCTTACTGACACAACTTCTGAAAAGACAAGATCTTTGCAAAGGTTTTCAAGAAAACCCACTGATGTAGAGTCCTAGCCATGTGACCTCAGCGTCCATCTCTTGATGCTAAGCGTATGGCCCTGTGAAAGGATCACCTGGGTCAGTAAGTAATAGAGAATGCCCTGGATAGAATCTACATCCTTCCACTGATTTGTGGATAACCAAAACCCTATGACCCAAGAAGTTTAACCCTCAGACCTAGAGTTTAGGAAGCACCCGCTATGCAGAGAAATATGGCATTTTATAAAACGCCCTGTTTTCTGGTAGCCACTTCTTCCCTGTGTCTCAATAAAACCTGTTTTGGCAAGTGACTGGGATTTATTTCTTGCTTGAACGCCCAGGAAGTTTCCTCATGCCACCAGCTGCATTTGAGCTCCCAGGTGTTGCAGGGCAGCTGCTGCTTGTCCCCAAGCAAGCGCTCAGCAGAAGAGGCCAACACGGGTAGCTGGTCAGTGACAGGCTAAGTCCAGTGTAAACACAGGGACCTGTACAGTGTCATGTTTAGTCCACATTCTTGGGTTCACACAAACACAATAGTACTCCAGCCGCAAACCAGAAATGCACTGTCATAGGCACCTTGACCTCCTGACAGAATAAGGCTTACTAATAGATTAAATAGTTCCACCTCTCTTAAAACCTCTTCCCTTTATAATTCTTATATTTAAAAAGGTAGCCATTCCCTTGGGTACCCTCGTAAGCCACTTTATACCCTCCTTTCAGAGGTTTAAATCTTACCCCCTTTTTTTTCTTGAAATGATATGATCCCTATTGAGACATACCGTAGTTCGTAAAACTTAAAAATATGTCTATTCTTTCCTGATCATTAAAAATAGTGTCTGCTACAAACACCTCCCAGAATTTGAATAGATAATAGGCTTATATTGTTGTTCTTCACCAGATAGTATATATCTTCTATTGTATTTTTATAATATTTCTTACAGATTCTGTGTGACTTATTGTCACCTGAAAACGTAAAGGAAGGCCTGAAGGAATCTTCCTGGAGTTCGTTACCATGTATTAAGAACAAACCTCTTGGTTTTCCCTCAGTAATGGAGCAGCCACACTCCCCTGCTGAGCTTGGCCTGAAGCAGGTAAGGGGTGGAAAGATGACATTTGCTCCCTACACCTGACTTAGAGCTGAGACCCCCACGTTCTCAGGGTCAAGCATTAGAGCCTGCTTAAGTGTGTATTGCCTACCTGGTTATAGTAACAGGATCTTGTCTGCAGCTTTTGATTTATACTAAAGCTCTGTACGTAATGTCAGTGTCTCAGAACATGCATATAGCTATAAATATTTTATTCTCAGTCCGGAGCATCTGCGTCAGAACTGCTGCTCTAAACAGTGCTGTGACATCAGTCAGCATGATACCTAAGGATCTATAAATACTGACAAAATGTCATTTATCTTGCCTGGGTTCAAAGTTAAAAAGTTCTGTTAAGCTAGGTTCAAATGCATATTATAAGGAGTTGAAATCTCAGTTCCATTTTTCTTCTTGGCTAGGAGAATAAAGGACAGTGAACAGAGAGGACTGCCTTTGTTTATTGTGTTCCGCAGACTGAAGAACAAGCGGAGGATGCCCCAGAGCCTGTCAAAGGAAGCCTAAACCGCGCTCAGTCAGCACAAGCCATCAATGCAGCGGCAGTGCCTGCCAGGGAGGATGGTTTAAAGCGCGTCTGCTCAGAACCTTTACTGTCCACTCAGGGAAAAGGTGTTCTGCTGAAGAGAAAGCTGTCTCTCTTAGAACAGGATGTGATCATTAATGAGGACGGGAGGAACAAGCTCAAAAAGCAAGGTGGTAAGGCTTTCCTTCTGCGGTTGGCCCGTAAAGTCCTGATTCAGAATGGCCTTGGAACCTCTTTCCCCGAGAGTAAAACCCTGCTTTTTTTATTTGATTAGAATCTTCCAGTGAAGACTGTATGTTCTCAATAGCTTATGGTGACATCCCAGAAGAACTAATAGATGTCTCAGACTTTGAGTGTTCTCTCTGTATGAGGTGAGTGTGTCAATTTATTTTTTATTTTTTATTTTTTGGAGACGGTTTCTCTGTGTAGCCCTGGCTGTCCTGGAACTCACTCTGTAGACCAGGCTGGCCTCGAACTCAGAAATCCGCCTGCCTCTGCCTCCCAAGTGCTGGGATTAAAGGTGTGCACCACCACCACCCGGCGAGTGTGTCAAATTTTATAAAGATGATTATGTCGATGTAAATATGTAGCATAGATAAAGGTACTGCTAGGTAAGATGAACTAACAATACTGGGCTAAGAATCAGAAGATGGAGTTTTAGACCTAGGTTTAGCTTTTTTCAATTTTGAGGAAACAGACCTCTGGATATCAGACTTCTGCATTGAGAAAGTGGGGCCAGTGTTTGTACAACACAGGATCTGGGTAGCCTGGCTGTCTAAAACTGACTCTATAGATCAGGCTGGCCTTGAACTCAAGACATCCACCTGCCTCTGCCTCCCACTGAGTGCACATCACAATTGCCTGCCTTACTGTGTGTTTCTTCAGTAAAGCAGGGTGTAGCTGTTAGCCTGTGCTTTGAACTTAAGATTATTGTGCCTCATCTTCCTGAGTGCTAGGATTAAGATATTGGGTTTAGATATATGTTCCACCATGCCAGGTTAAATCACTCTTTCCCTAAAGTAAGCTTTTAAGTTAATATGCAAAGAAATGGGTTGCATCACGCACCATCATCCTTGGGCCATCAGAGTCTGTTGAGTGCATCCTTCTCTAGTATATTTTATGTAGAAAGGCTTTGGTCAGACTATTAAGGACCATTTTTAACTTGATGAGGCTGTATCAAGATTTGATGACCACCAATGGCATACATCGTTTGCTCTGTCTTTATTCTGTTTGCTTTCACGGCTCAGTGTGGCTCAGCCCCCGCTTAAGGGCTTGGTGGCCACATGTGTCCAGTAGTGGTGACTACAGTAGTTAGTGCAGTTCTGGGCCCCTGGGAGGGTACTTTTGTTGTTCAAGGTCTTTCAGAAGGTGCAGGAGGCCACAGTACTGGTCGTATTGTCCTCTTCCCCCTCTCCTCTCCCACCTTGGCCTCCTGACACCTATAAGCCTGTGTTTCCCAACCTTGCTAATGCTGTGACCCTTTAACATTTCCTCATGCTGCAGGGACCCCAACCAGAACATCTTCATCGATACTTCATAATTGTAACTTTGCTACCGTTTTGCATTGTAGTATAAATATCTGATATGCAGGATATCTGAGATGTGCCTCCCAGAGGGGTGTTGATCCACAGGTTGAGAACCACTGCTCTCAGTAGAGCTTTATGTTATGGTCCATTATTAACGGACGCTTTTCCAACGCGGAGGCTCCTGATGTGAAAGCTAATGTGTACTTTGTTTGCTTTCAGGTTGTTTTTTGAGCCAGTAACAACCCCGTGTGGACACTCATTCTGTAAGAACTGTCTTGAGCGTTGTTTAGATCACGCACCATATTGTCCCCTCTGCAAAGAAAGCTTAAAAGAGGTGAGTGCGCGTTTGTCTCTGTTTACTGGTCATAAGGTTGGGAACATGGACTGGTGTGTGCCCACCTGCAGAAAGCGTGGTTTCCTTTTCAAAGTGAGGTAAATGGTACATCCTCGCTAACCGAGGGCACACTGCTGATTAGCCATGTCGTGTAGGAAAGGAGAAACTGAGAGCTGAGAAGAGATAGGGCCTAAGTACCAAGGCCTGTCTACTCGGATGTTGTTTGGTTGGTTGGTTTTGTTTTTTGTTTTAAGGATAATATAATAGGATAATATAATTAGTATAATATGATAATTTAAAACAAAAACTAACACATCAGAATTGGACAAAACAAACAAGCAGAAGGCAAACAGCCCAGGAAAAGACACGAGTAACAAATCCACTTGTTTGCATATTCTTCCGGAATCTATTAAGATGCTAAACTGGAAGCCATCACACACACACACATACACACACACACACACACACACACACACACACACACACACACACACGGACTTCTAGGATACAAAGAGAAAAAAATAAAATAAAAAATAAAAAGTAGTAAGGTAAAATCCCTGACCCGACATTGTGAGACAAGGAACCTCCAAAGATGCCACAGAGTTTGTTATTTTAAGAAAAGAAATACAGCCAGCCACCTGCTCAGGGGAAGGTTCAGTTTTAATGATGACATCATTGGGGAACTCTGCTGCCCTGCATCTCACCCAGGCTTGAGGCCTGTTGCAGATCCCTCAATGCCCAGAGCAGCTGTCCTGTAGAACCTCCTGCATGGTGGAGACGGCCCAGCTTTCCTATCCGGTCTCGTGGAGCCAGCCACGTGTAATACTCAAGCCCTGGAACTGTGTCTGGAGTGACTGAGGGACAAGTTTCCATATTGTTTAATTAACTAGAATTTAGGGAGGTCCCTGACCAGTGCTTGCCCCACTGAGCAGCATAGCTCTAGGAAGTGGTGGCAGAACCTAGAGCAGGCAACATCCTCCTTGTCTAGAGCCAGAGATCAGCACTAGCCCCTGTAATGGGACACACAGTGGCGGTGCTGTCTCCTGTCCCCTCTCTGTCAGGATCCAGCTTCATGGTGCAGTCTAACTTCAGTGGAAGCATCCACAGGAGCCTGGCTCCCTGTGATGATTTATAGTGTGCGGAGAAAAACATCTGCCACCACTCATTTATTAGAAAATAAACACAATCCCTATAAAAATACTTCCACAGAAAACACAGTGGCATATGTTGCTGTGTTTGATATGTATGCTGCATAACAAGCTGGTATGTTGAAAACATACACAAGCACACACATGTACACACATACGCATACAAGTGCACAGACATAACACATCCATGTACAATGTTTTCAAAGTCAAGATAAAGTTACCCTTGAAGGGTTTACCAGTTATGACAACAGCTTGTCATTTTGGGATAAAGTATATTAACATGCTATTTTCCCCAGAGTTTAGATATTCTTTGCTATAATTACTCTTGTTTTCAAGCTAACTATTCAGTACATAACTTTCATTTAGAAATACTTAGTCTTTAAAAATGCTAGTTTAAAGGAAAACCGAAGATAGTATTTGAACACATAACTGGATGTTTAAAAATATCCTGTTTCTTTTTTTTTTTTTTTTTCTTTTTTGAGACAGGGTTTCTCTGTGTAGCCCTGGCTGTCCTGGAACTCACTCTATAGACCAGGCTGGCCTCGAACTCTTGAACTCAGAGATCCACCTGCCTCTGCCTCCCAAGTGCTGGGATTAAAGGCGTGCGCCACCACCGCCCGGCTAAATATCCTGTTTCTAATGTTGATGATAGCTTATGTTGGATCATTTATAAAGTACAAATTATATCTATACCTAATAGTATATAATTTGAAAAAAATACTGATGTGCTTGCATGTTTCCTGCCTGCATTCTACTGTCCTCTTTTGCCCATTAAGTCTGGTTTAAAGACATGAGCTTTGCAGCAGCTTCGTAGAGAATGGCAGTATTTCCCTGTTATCTTTATTAATTAATTATTAAGTTAGAGGCCTGCTCTATGAGGGGGTTAGCCTCATGATAAACTCCTGGCGTCTACACACATACGGTCTAGCGGAGTCCACTCACGGCCTCCTCTTCATTGTAAGAGGGGCACCTCTCCCAGTGTGTCTACAGATCAGCAGCCCTGTGGGAACTTGCCAGAACTACTGATTCTCAGGCTCCACGTCACCTCGAGCCAGAACCCGGGTGGGTCTTAGCAATCTGTATTTTCACAGACCTTCCTAGTCAAGGTTGAAAGCTGCCTCCGTGGCCACCTTCCCTAACTCTAAATTTCCCATTGTGTCCTTCATTACAGCTTGACACAGCTGCTATTTCTGTTGGTTCCACAGACAGAGAGATGGCTTCTCTTTCTGACTTTTCTCCCAAGAGTCCTTTCTGACTACTTTATTTATTTACTTTATTTAATACATGTGTATTTTCTGTCTGTGTACTCTCAGCTTAAGTGACTTTTAGTTGACTTACAAAGACTTATGTATCCATATTCATATGATACAGTGCAGGGATGATGGGTTCATCCCTTTTCTATAGTGAAAACAGTAAAACACACAATGTAAGGTAAAAGAGGAACTAAGGAAGACATCATGAGACATGTGGTCTGATCGTGACCTGAGAGAGCTTACATAGACAGGAGAGGGTGGATTTTTTTTTTGTCAGCCAGAACAATGGTATATGCTACATGTGGACAGCCACTTTTCAGAGTCTGTAGAGGGAGCACAAATGTACCAAGTACATAGAGGCGGGGGATAGACCATACAGGAAAAGTAGCATGCTGTTGAAGTCTGACTGAGAGCAACATTGGAAGAAAACCTAAAAGAAAAATTAGATAGGTTGAGTGGAAGCATATGCCTATAATTCCAGTACCTGGAGAGCTGAGGTAGGAGAAAGCCTCCTCACAGAAACGGCAACAGCACTCTCAGTAGAAAAACCTATGTAGAGACTTTATCTTTGAAAATAGACAAAACGACAGTTGTTTTGACTTTGTGAAATAAGGCAAGTGCATTCTTTTCTTCATCCATATCTTCCTTCTGCTTCTTAGAAATTTGCTTGTGTTGTGGAAGATGGCAGGGGCCAGGCTGGCTGCTACCAATAAAAGATTAGTGCTTGTGGCAGGGCACTTTCTACACGGGGACTTGTTTTGGCTGCGTCTACAGTCTCACACTGGAGCCGAGGCCCAGACAGGTTTATTGTGTAGCTACATGAACTGCAGGGTTCCCCTCATGAATTAAATGCAGTTAGAATTGAGTGTGAAGGTCTATAACAAAGGCTTTGATCTCTCAGTTATACTTTGCCTGCTTTATACTATAGAGAAGCATCTACTGGAATGTGAAATAATTCTGTCTTTCAGTATCTAGCAGACAGGAGGTACTGCGTCACACAGCTGCTGGAGGAGCTAATAGTGAAGTACCTGCCGGATGAGCTGTCTGAGAGGAAGAAAATCTATGATGAAGAAACAGCTGAGCTCTCCCAGTAAGTCTTCTGCTGTATCTAAAACACAAGTAGAACATTGGATCTTTCACTTCTAAAACAGAATGAATTGTGTGTGTGAACTTGAATTTTCCTGTGTGTGTCCATGGGAAGTCCTCACAGGCCACTGGTCTTCAGGACAAAGTTTGTAAGCTTTCCTTTACAGGGCCTGTAGTGATTTTTCCTCCCAAGAAACCAGCGTTTTATTGTGTACTTTTGTGATAGAAAATATTGAGGTGAGAACCCTGTCTCTTTTGGATATTCAAGTCTAGAAAGGAGATTCGGTGACACTACAGATCCGAAGCATTGTGGTGAAGCCAGCCCGCCCTTAGGAGAGGGTACAAGAGGAGCCGAGGCGGAGGGAGAGCTGAGTGGTGCTGTGAATCCAGGGGCAGCCAGGCTTACTAGCTGGGCTATGCTTTAACTGCACTTTCATGTTAAATCCTTAGGTCATTAGTGGCCATGTAGCAAGAACATAAAAAGGGAGCAGAAGCAAATCTTGAACCCATAGCCCTGGTGCATGCTCTCCATGACCTTAGTGGAGTACATGGGACCATGCTGGCCTCTTGTCTGTAAGTCAGTGCAGCCCTGGGCCTCAGAGTGGACAGCGTGGACCCGACTCAACTGCCACATGCTCTGCTGCGTCCTCTCTGCTCTTTGCACTGCTGACCTCCAGCTGTGCTGCTGTGAACATTAATTTCTGCATCTGTAGGCTTGATTCTGAAAGGAAAACTCTTGGTCCCAAGGATGCTTCCTACCAAAGAACCCGTGGTGCTTCTGCTGTAGAGTCAAGTGCCTGTGTATGCATTTTTTTCTCAGTGCCCCACAAGGCCAGGCTTTCTCATCCTTGCTATCTGGTCATTGTCTTGCCCCTCTTACTGTTCACAGTCTGGCAGAAGAAAGGTATCTGTCACTTTAGTTACCTTGAATTCTCTTTGTTGATCTTTTCAAAATATCACTGTTAAGAGTTTTTGTCCATTTTGGGAGCCCAATTTTTTTCTTAATGTCTTATGGATAAAAGCTATAACTCTGTCCTGCATTATAAGTATTTTAAACAAGTTCTCAATATACAATGTTATGATAAATTTCCTTTTGATTTTTAAAAATAGCTCTGTATGGTACCAACTATTTTAGAATTCCGGCTTATAAATATGAGACTCATAATCAGATTTAGTTTCATGAACTCAGCGGTGTGAACTTGATGAAGGGGCGCTGCTTCCTGCACTAGTCAGGAACCAAGAGCATATATTTAAAACAAGTTTCGTTGTTGTTATTATTGTTGGTGTTTATACATCAGTTTTTTGCTGTGATAAGACTTCAGTTCTTTGCTATGGTAAACCTGATGTGTTTTTGCTGTCTGATTCGGTTTATAACAATGAAATGTCTTCTCCTTCAGCTTGACCAAGAATGTCCCAATATTCGTTTGCACTATGGCCTACCCCACTGTGCCTTGCCCTCTCCATGTATTCGAGCCCAGATACAGGCTCATGATCCGAAGAAGTATCCAGACTGGAACCAAGCAGTTTGGGATGTGTGTCAGTGACACACAAAACAGGTAGGCTCCTCGTGACCTTTGACACCTGTGTTTGCACCGGAGCTTTTTTTTGTATCCGAATGAGGCTTTGCACACTCATGCTTAAGCAATGTTTTTCTCTTAGTTTTGCAGATTATGGTTGCATGTTACAAATTCGAAATGTGCATTTCTTACCTGACGGAAGGTCTGTTGTTGACACAGTTGGAGGAAAGCGGTTCAGAGTTTTAAAAAGAGGAATGAAAGATGGATATTGCACTGCAGACATTGAGTATCTGGAAGATGTCAAGGTATGGAAAATGTTCTTTCCCGGTGCATTCTGGGCCACTGTGTCCTAGGGCTTGCTACCAACGTGCTCTCCTGTCATTCCTCATTGCTGCTTAGGAGGGTTAGCTCCTGCCACCTTTCCTTTATCTTGCTCTTGAACTGTTTGCCCATTCATGAGCACATGGAGACGAGAAGCTCCAGCCTCTTCATATTCCAGGCTTCCCAGGCAGCACGATGCCTAGACTCTACTTATGCTTGTGCATACAGTAGTCATGGTAACCACTTAACTAACTGTAGCAGTTGACTAAATTGAACTTCCAGCTCATCGAAGTTTTAAGTTTGTGAATCTCTCCCTTATTTTATTTGATTTATTAATAATTAAAACTGCTATAATTCATAGATTAAAATTTAATGTAAAAGGAAACACAAAATTCTTTTAAGGGTTACCCTGTGTATTAGGTTTTTTTCTGTGCCAGAGATAATTATAAAGTAAATACAACTGGATGCTGTTTTAAAATGGTAGGATGTCCCAGATAAGATACTGCCTATATATATATATATATACACACACACACACACACACACACACACACACATACATATACATATATGTACACTGCTGATAGCTTAAATGGCGTTGATGTGGCCTCTTGATGATTTTGGGACCTAATTTACCAACTAGAATTAAGGTACTGGAAAGTAGCTGCTGTTTTAAGTATCAAATTGATAGCAGTTTCTACAGGAAAGGCAGGATAAAACATAGGTCTTACATTAGCACTGTTCACTGGTCTATTCCAGCCCTTTATCAGTCAGCATTTCCTGATTGCTGGGCATCTTCACAAAGAGTTCGTAGAGTTTTCACAAATCTGAGACAGTTAACAGATACAGAGAGTAATTCAGAGTCTGTGATGTGTAACAGAAACGATCGAAGGCTGACCGAGTCAGCGTCCTGAGCTCTCCTTACACCGTGCTGCCTCGGTGCTGATAGAGAAATGTATCGGCTTGATGTTGCCTGTTATCTCTGATTTAAAAAAAAAAAAGATGTCATGCGGCGGGAAGCAGGGGCAGGCAGATCTCTGAGTTTGAGGCCAGCCTGGTCTACATAGAGAGTTCCAGGATGGTTGGGACTGCATAGAGAGAGACGCTGAGGCAAACAAACAAACAAAAAGATGTCATGGGGAGATACTTTGCTCTATGAACTAGGGCAGAATATTTTATGAGTTGAACATTTTAGTTGACTGATAGTCTTTGTCTTACGTGGAGTTGGCTAATGGAACTGTTTGCTAAAGATGGTATGCTTGTAAAACCCGTAAGCCTGTTGTAATTTTCGGTTAATTTGTATAATGATAGATCACATCTGATGACAAAGTCCTTTGGGCAGGCGGCTGAACATACATGGCTAAAAGCATACATCCAGTAGCGTAGCGTACTGGAAGTGTCTTCAGAAACTGGCATCGTGTTTGGGAGACTGGGTCACGTCTTAGATCCTTCTTTTTCCCCCGTTCATATGTTTTAGCTTTTTGCTTTTGCTCTTGTCTGTTCTTGTTCAGAAGACCTCAATTTTATTATTTACCTTTTCTTCTCGTGGTAGTAATTTTATTTTCTGTGATGTCTAATGAAATGTTAAGCTCTATTTAATTGTTGTAGCAATGTTCTTAACCTTTTAAAAAGCCTGCTTTTGAAAATTCTGGTTGTTTCTCAGCTGGTTTTGTTTCTCTCTCAAGAGATGCAGCTCTTTGCCATTTTAATTATTTCTGAGCACAGCCTGTGGCTATATCACATTATGTAAATTACAACTGATTGCAATGCATAGTTTCAATTTTCATTTTACTTTTTTCAGAAGTAAGAATGTGTGACCTTTTGTGTCTTATGTCTTTTGTATTTCAAAATCTCTCCATAGCCAGTGGGCCAGGACCATGGTTCGCCTTTAAGATGGATGAGTTCCTTGACCATGCTCCTCTGTTCTGTAGGTCTTCTTGTGACTGAAAGATGTCTTCCATTTTACCTTTGCCATTTGGTGGTCTAAAGGGTGCATGGAGGAGATTATGGAGGGACCCACAGCCTTGGACCCTTATGGCAGAAGTTGAAATTATATATTTTATTCTCTACTGTTTGACATGCCAATGTTTTAGCAAGTATTTTTGTTTCTTTTGATCCAGTTCTCCTGTAAAGGGTGTGTTTATGGCTGCCCTCCTGTTGCTGCTTTCTGTCATATGTAGCCCAAGTGCCCCATTTTTCTTGTCACTGTAGCAACTGCTCTATTCCAATTTGTGTAGACCTTTGAACCAGAGCTCATTGCCCACCATCATTTCACCTTCCCAGGCTGTCAGTCAGGTTGCTGCCTGCTCCGGGTGGAGACCAGGCACTGTTCTTCCCAGTGAGTCCTGTCAGCACTCTGTAAGGCAGAAACTTAACCTTCTATTGCCTGAGAATAACACTCTGATAACCTAGCGCCGATGCGGACATTCCTGTTTTCCCAGTGTTCCATGGGTATGAGGCTAAGGGGGAGGAAGTCACGGAGGTCTTACTGTCCTTCCTAGATCGAGAACGGAGAGGAAATAAGGAGTCTGAGGGAACTCCACGACTCAGTGTACTCACAAGCCTGCAGCTGGTTTCAGAATTTAAGAGACAGATTCCGAAACCAAATCCTTCAACACTTTGGATCGATGCCTGAGAGAGAAGAAAACCTCCAGGTAGGATAGCTCTGCTGTTGCCGAGTCTCCCTTTCTCGTGAACCCAACGGACAGACAGCTTTCTACATCCCCATCTTTAGCATTATGGCTGTATTCTCTAGAGCACTGGTATCTGCGACATGTAGCCCAGGCAAAGCTGCCTGCAGGGAAGAGTGCCATCGAGGGAGCAAGGGCTTGTCTCAGGATGCCGGGAGGGTTGTAAGCTTTAGAATGGATGCTAGCTTTCATTAAACTGTGACTCTGAAGCCACCGTACCTCCCAGCCCATCAGCTGTGCCTTTGACAGTTGTGAGATGTGTGATTTTTCCAGGCTTTAGGAAGTCTGCTCCTCTCCTCTTACTTCCTATCCACTGTGCACCGTGTCAATCTACTTTTGTCTAGTTGCGTGTAACACTTCCATTACCATAAAACTATCATTCTTAGGGTCCTGCTCAAGTACTGGGGTTTACGTCAAAAAACTAAGCCTAATTAGTAATGTGATTTAGTTTCTTTCTGTGCACTGAGCTCTGCAGTAGCAATTGCAAAACCCGTTAGGAGGTCCCTTACCCTGAGGAATCCAACCACAGGCTCATGAGAGAACCAATATTAAGCAAAACATTTTAAATTAAATAAAGTATTTATGGTTAAAAGATGATTAATGTCACAGTGGATTAGCTGTAAATATATGAAGGTGGAACAATAACAGATCCAAGTGTGAGCCATCTCTCACTCTGTCCTTCAGAGGTTTGCCTGAGTCTCTCCGACCCAATGAGTCTCTTACGTCGGCATCCAGACCATTTCCAAACTGAGGACAGGACCCATGCTGTGCCTGTGTTACCCATCCTGGTATATCTATCCTGACCACCTGAATCTGGTTAAACATTATAGAAGTATGCTTTCATAAGATAAAGCAGAATGACACATTTAAAACCTCCAGAATGTAACTTTCATAAAGGTCTGGGCAGTACTTCCCCGTGGTCCTCTCTTCTCTCCTCTCTCAGTAGCTGCCACTGGTTTCTGTTAATGCCATGTTAGGAGTCAGGAAAACAAAGCAGCCACTGTGTGAGATCCAGGAATGAGGGTTGTAAAGAGGGACAGTTATGTTGGAGGCTGGAGGAGCGAAGGTCAGTGCCAACTGCACCAGAGGCCACAGAATCCCCCCGCGGTTCATCTGGAGCAGCAGAACACAATGCCTCACTAGGACTTGTGGAGAAAGTGCTTCAGTTCTTAAGACCCTGGGAGCACGTGTCTGTCCATCAGTCAGAGGCAGTGGAATGGATGGGTCTCTAGAATCCTCTGGAAAGCTGCCCCCCACACTTTGCAAGAGTTTCTAGAGACTAATGACCTCTTTATCAATTTCTGCATCTGGTAAGATTGCCATTGGCCTGGTTGGGTCTAACCTGGAGACACATGGAAGATAGGATTCTGGGAAACGTTATCTCTGGAATTCAGAAGGAAGTGGACATGGTGCAGAGTCCAGAGCAGGGGATAGGGGAGCCGTCACACAGGCTCTGTCGTGGTTGCATTGGCATTCTGAATGTTCCTGTTTCTGGGCTCGTGAGCACCAATGCAGTGAGCGGTGACGGGGGCTGTCAAATCCTGTTGTGCACACTTACCACTGTCTCTGTGGCTGTGTGTCAGCCCGTGCAGCATACAGGAGCTTCCTTGCCAGGAAGTTAGCTTTTCCTCGCCCTTGCAACGTTAATTTTTTCAAACTAAATCAGAAGCCAAATCTTTTCTTTTTTACGATTCCAATTTTTGAATAAAAATGTCAAATATCAACAATTAATTTTCTGTAGTGCTTTAAATAACAAGGTCTGGCCCCACGAGGCATTTGGTACTATCTGGAGACATTTTGACCTTTACAACTGGAGAGGTGCTGTTAGTGGCTAGCTGAAGGAAGGTAAACTACAGAGCACAGGACTGTGGCAAAGGGGCCCCTGTGGAACAGAGCAAAGGGGCCCCAGGACCCAGATGTCAGCAGCTTGAGGCCAAGAACCTGACCGGGTATTGACAAAGAGCTGACTGTGGAGTCAGTGCCAGGCTAAAATCCTAACTCTAACATGTGAGCTGAGAGACATGGGCACAGTTCCCAACTTGAGTTCTGCACTGTCTGTGGGCGTCATAATCACCCGCCTTATATTATTACGAGACTTAGGATGGTGATGGTACCTGGCATGTAGGTCAAGTAGGTTAGGTTTTGATTTGTAGTTTTACTGTTACGTTAACTCTGAACTGTTGGTTGGTTTTAGGCAACACCCAATGGACCTGCATGGTGTTGGTGGCTGCTGGCAGTCCTTCCTGTAGACCCGAGGTATCAGCTGTCTGTACTGTCAATGAAGTCTTTGGAGGAACGATTGACAAAGATACAGCATATTCTGACTTACTTTTCTAGAGACCAATCTAAGTAACGGATTGCTTGGATCTCACGTAGCTCGCTCTTAGCCCACAGGCTGAGAAGCGGTCAGATCTTACTTTAACGTCGCCCTGATCCGGCTCCATTGACGGCCGGATTGTCCGCTGCCTTTTGCACACCCAGTGCTGGTTTAAGAAATTAAGGAAACTTTTCTTTTCTTCAACCTCCTGAATCTCGTGGATCTGCAAATGAATACCTTCAACTAGGTCCCAGACCACTAAGAACTTGCACAGAAAACACGCACTGAATGTGTGTTGAACCTCGACATTGTGATGAAGTTGCACTATGTACCATACTCTAAATGAACTAAAAACTCCGTGTATGTATGACATGTGCGTGAGTGTGCATGCATGTGTGCGTGTGTATGAGTGCCTGCGTGTGTACGTGCGTGTGTGTGTGTGTGCGCGCACACGCGTGCGTGTGTGTGTGTGTGTGTGTGTGTGTGTAGGTGCGTATGTGGTGTGTGTGCTTTTTCTCTGGCTTTAAATTTTAAAAGACAAAAAAAAAAAAAGCCATAGAGCGTGAACTTGCTGAAGGTTCTCTATCTCCCACGTTTACAACAGTAGTCATAGGAGTTTTCGCAGATTGAATTTGCCTCAGATTTATTTGTCCTGATGCTTCTATTTGCACAAGTATGTAAACTATGGTATAGAGTATCATTCTTTTTGTTGGAAATCCTGCTCTTGCTGAACTGTCTTGGCCATTGACTATGACACAGTCAATCCTTTCTGTAAATAGGTGCATCCCGGTGGCCGGCAAGGCAGGGATGCAGAACCCAGAGCCAGTCTCCAGGAACAACTGGGAACCTGACATGGTACTGTGCATCCATTCATAAAACACTTAAAACTGTGAAAATATGGTTTACATTAAAATGTACATAAAGGTAGATGGAGAACTGGATTCAGCCAGTTAGCTTGTACATTTTAGGGGGCTTTTCACATTAACTGCCCGTCTATGTCATTAGAGTTTGACACGATAACTTGTATTTAAGGAATTATGTAGTGTATAAATCAGCTGAGGGTCCGGGGGGAGGAGAAGAAGGTTACTGTAGGACTAAGCTTGTAAGGCTTGTTTTGTTTTGACTCTGGTCCTGGTGCAAATGTTAGTTATGCCTTATTCATACCACAGTTAGAGCACCGTGCTGTGACATGGGTATATCCATGCTGCCCGGCCCTTTTATAATTATTCGTTGCAGATTTGTGACTGTCTCTATTAACTTTCTTTTATGTAAGTAATTTGTACAAGTTTCTTAAGATTTTTGCTTTTGCTTATTTAATTTTGAATAAAAGCTAAATTCATAATATTTTTTCCCTTTTAAATTGTAAAGCAATGTCAGGAAAAACACCAATACAGGGACCGAGCTACATACAGTGTAGAACATAGAACACGTGTTTGATTGCCTGTTTTGTGACATGAGGCTTAAGTTGTAGATTTTGGGTGGGTAGTGGCAGGTGGGGCCTGAGGGGTATTTGTCTGGGACAGGGTCTCTCTACTTAGCTCTGGCTGTCCTGGAGCTCACTATGTAGACCACACTGGTCTTGAACTCAGATATCCGACTGCCTCTGCCTTCTGCGTGCTGGGATTAAAGGTCCTACACCATCACACCCAGCAAATTGTGGTTTTAAATTTTTTTATTATTATTGGATATTTTATTTATTTACATTTCAAATGTTATCCCCTTTCCCAGTTTCCCCTCCCCAAATGCCCTCTCTCATTTCTCCTCCCCCCACTTCTATGAGGGTGCACCCACACACTCACTCCTGCCTCACCACCATAGCATTCCCCTATGCTGGGGCATCAAGCCTTCACAGGACCAAGGGCCTCCTCTCCCATTGATGCCCGATAATACCATCCTCTGCTACATATGCGGCTGGAGCCATGGGTTCCTCCATGTGTACTCTTGGTTGTGGTTTGGTCCCTGGGAGCTCTGGGGGTTTTGGTTGGTTGATATTATTGTTCTTCCTATGGAGTTGCAAACCCCTTCAGCTCCATCTTAGAACATTTTATAAACAAAGAATGTGATGTCTTGAGGCTTCAGGTCCAACGACTGTTCTCTAAACTTTAGAGTCTAAAGCATTGTTTTTTTAACCTTTAAGATAACAATATTCTTCCCTTTAGGATAACAATATTCTTCCCTTTAGGATAACAATGTTCTTCTTTTTAAATACCCTAAAAATGTATTTGTTGTCACTAACAAGTTTAAAATATGACAAGTGTTTCTTACAGAAAAATTTTGCATACATTCTCCTCCGTCAGGATGACTCTTTGTTGTACACCCGACCATTTTGGTCCCCAGTTCCTTGGCTGAGATTTCCCAGCTACTGTTCTGGTTTCATTTGCAGATGAGAGTTTACTGTATGACCCAGGCTGACCTCATACCTGCCGCTCTCCTGCCTGGGTCTCCAACCACTGTGCTCATAGGCACACACCTCCATGCCAGTAAATGAGACCTTCAGGATTAGCTGAAACTGTAGAAAAGATTCAGAAGACGCCATTCAGTGCCACATCAATGAGGAGAGAACTGTCCACAGCGCCTGTTGATGCAGGTGTTTAACTCACCTACTCTGGAGGCTAAAGCAGGCAGATTCCGAGTTTAGGTCAGTGTGAGTTACACAGTGAGTTCAAGGCCAGCCTGGGTGACTTAGCCTTTGTTTGACAATCATCATATACAAGGCCCTGGCTTTGTTTTCTAGCACCATTAACAAAGAGGTTCATAAAGAAATCGACCACTGAGTGGACCAGAAGTTAACCCAGTGGTATCTTAGTAATAATACTTTTATCATTACTGGTACTTGATCAATAGTTTTGAAGTATACACTAACTTTCTTATAATTAAAAATACTGCTAAGTGCCTGTTAAAATGAGGGATATATGTAAATGAGTTATCTATATGTTTCTCAAAGTAGCACATGGTGAAAGTAGTCCCAGGAGTTGAATATACATATTTAATGTGTACATGTGTGCTATACACTCAGATGGACTGTGAATGGTGTCTGTATATGCACACATATATTCCCACCAAAGGAAGTGTGTGAGCCTTCTTTATGATTTATTCTGATTATATGACAGATATTCCTATGGCAGTTTTTTCTCTGTAGATTAAGTCTGAGGGTTTTTTTTCCTTATTGTACATTTCATATATCTTTTCAAAAATGAAAGCAAAGACTCGAATTGTTTACCTTATCACTTTAGGTGCTTAAATTCCATCATTAGTGCAATATATTTTTCAAAAGTCTCTAGCTCACCAGTTTATAGACACGTCTGTGTGTCTAATTCTTCTCAGTCTGACTTAGACACTTCAGGTAGGAGGACTCTGAACCCTATAGCACTTTCCCTGTACCTTTGCCCCTGATGCGTGAGGGAGTAACTAAGACACATTCCCAAACCTCACTGACGGCTCTCCAACTGTTCCAGCAGCTATACTGTGAACAGAAACAGCAATTATCAGGCCTCGAATGTGAGATTTGGGCCAGAGAAGATTCTCCATACCTTACATAGCAACTTAACTCCTATAGGATCAAGAATCTTTACTCACAGACAGACTGACCACAGCACATAGCTGAAATAAATGCTTGAACACTGAGCACCATATGGTGACAATCATCTGTAGTCTCATTCCTCAAGATCACAAGTTCAAAGACAAGCTGGGCTAGTACTGAGACACTGAGATGGGAAGGGGAAAGTTCTAGTTGAGGAAGGGAGATTAAAAGGCTGGAATGGACAAATCGCTGCTTTCTCCCCAAATTTTAATAATGATAAAAAGGAAAGAAGTGAAGATCACATTATGAAATCAGAACCTCAAGAATTGACAAATACTTTTGACGATATCTGAGATATACGTGAAAGCTAGTACATTAGTCCATAGGCCAGAGGAAGTCGTGGTTTTGCAGAAGTGGAGAGCCATAGGCCAAGTACAAATAGCTTCAGGGAATCCCTATACTCAGAGAGCATGTTGGCAAACTCAAATAGGGAAGCTGGGTGTGAATTTGAACTTGTTCCCCACTCCAGCTATACTGTGAACAGAAACAGCAATTCTCAGGCCTTGAATGTGAGGGTTGGGCCAGAGAAGATTCTCCATACCTTACATAGCAACTTAACTCCTATAGGATCAAGAATCTTTACTCGGGCTGGAGAGATGGCTCAGTGGTTAAGAGTACTGACTGCACTTCCAGAGGTCCTGAGTTCAAATCCCAGCAACCACATGGTGGCTCACAACCATCTGTAATGAGATTTGATGCCCTCTTCTGGTGTGTCTGAAGACAGCTACAGTGTATTCATATATAATAAATAAATAATTTAAAAAAAAAAAAAGAATCTTTACTCACAGACAAGCTACTAGCCTACCTTACATTGGGCAGTATATTCCTGAATATTCCATGATCACATAGCTAGGGTACCTTCCCTGGGCCACTAACCCCAAATGGATTATCTCAAACAGCAAAGATGAATAGGCAAGCAAATCCTAGAAGTTTGGAGAAAGGAAGAAGACAGAAATGCACTAAGATCTGAGGATGCTGGATTCCTCCCAAAGATGGGAGAACTGAGAACGGTTCTCAGTCTCTCCTACCATTAGGAACCTCAGTAACATCTCACTGATGAATTAATCATCAAAGTGAAGTCTGTAGCTGAGCCAAATAGACTGGGTGCAGATAATGAATCAGACGGAGGATCAAGCAAAAGCCCTTCCCATAACACAACATAGAGTTCAAGAGAATAGGAATGTGAAAGAAAGCAGACATGAATAATCAATAGAACATGGTTAACATCTGGCTAGCCAAGAGAAGTTTCTTAGTAGTAGAAGGAAAGAAATGAGTACTTTTCCGTGAGTTCTGTTGAGACTACTGTATTCTCAGGGACCAGACACATCCATATAAAGAGAAACTGAAGAAACGAAAGACCTCATACACAGGAAGACTGAAGGAAAACAATAGTAACTCAGTCATCTAGTGTTGGCCAGTGATGAATGACAGGCCCAGGGACACACATTTAAGGACATGAATTTTGGGCCTAAGCCAGTGTTTAGATAGTTGTCGGCACTTAATAATTGTTAGGGTTAGCAAGGGCGCTCACCCAATAAAGACGCCAGCCGCCAAGCTTGCTGACCTGAGTCCAGTCTCCAGAACCTTTGTGGTAAGAGAGAACTGGCTCTCACAAGTTATCCTCTGCCATACATGCGTTGTCATACACACACACACAATTATAAATATATATATTAAATTATATATATATTTGGCTGTTCATTAAAATTATGTTTGTCTTTACAAATTTATTTTGACAGGGGTTAGAGAAAGGATAGGCCCACTATTCAAGATTTGAAAAGAGTATGTGCACTGGCTAGTTTTATGTCGGCTTGACACAGTTTGGGTC